CGTTTGAGAATAAATTTAAATCCGGATGTTTGCGAAATTTTACAAAATACTCGTAGGACAAACCACAAATCTTAGCTCCGCGTTTGGTCTCACCGGTGACTGGATTTAGATTGGCAATTAACGAGCAGATAGTTTTTGTCGCCTCTCAATTATGATGACCATTTGTTTTTATCGTCTAAATTACGGGAGTTGTTGATTTTACTGCTTCATCATTTTTTAAATATTTAATACATATCCGATTGTTATCAGTGGCTCTGTAGACAACACCAAATTTTTCTTTTTATTTCTTTGTAAAAAATTACCTGATTTGAGTTGATATCGAGAATAAATAACAAAAAAACCCGCTTTGAATCGATAATAATAATGAATGAATAAATCGATACATAATCCAACAAGCTGAGTCATCTGAGAAACATTTTAACCAAATTTTTCTCGATAAGTTGTCTTTACAGACTTAAGAACAAAAATATTGGGCAGAGTTCTTCCAAGCAATATTTTTTCATATCAGCCACATACAGCGTTTCTTAGCCTATGTTCTGTAAATAATTAGGAGCTAAATCGAGATTATTGAGCCTGAGTTTTCAAGATTGCTACGTATGGAAATCCGCGAGATAATCTCCTCAATCCTCGTCCAACCGTGTTTACTTTTATTAACCTTTGCCTGTCAGAACCTCTCAGATTTGATGATTAACTGTTCTATTTAATTTCCCAACAAATTGCGTCAATTTTCAACGACCCCAAGACGACTCAAATTAAAGCGAGATGTACCTCGTTTGAATAGGCCTCTGGTATAGGAAGCAGATTGACATGCAAGATAACGTAAACTGGCCTACAAAGAGGCTTTTTTACTGCCTCCCTTCTCCAGGCCGGAAAACGCAAGCTAAGTTATGGAAGTGGGAAGACTTGTAGTGAAAGAGAGCGAGAAATTTATCTGGGGACAAACGTGTATGGGAACACACCTCCAGGATTGTTTGATAACGATCTGCGACGGAGCTATGGAATTTTCGAGTTCTCGTAGATCGTGGTTTGCCTTGTACGATTTTTAGAAAAGACTGAGATAAGACTCCAATAAAAGGGAAAAAAAAGAAAAGAAAGAAAAAAGGAAACAGCTTCGACGAATAAAATTAACAGCAGCAGGTGTTATCCTCCATAGAATGATCCGTTAATTAAAACACGAGAGATTGTGAATGATACAAACAAAACTTAAAAAAATATGTAATCGAAGCACTAATCTGGTGTTTGTTCAGCTCTGAAAGGGTTAAGTTCTTTATCAAGAAGGTCCTCAATAAAGAGGAAAGTTCCCGAACATCTTGCAACTAAATGCGATCAATAAAACTATCTGGCACAACATTCATTACTTTCACTAGCATTTTGTAGAGCATTTTGTATGTAACTCACTCTGAAAACTTGGGAAATGTTTAGGAGGCAATTAAAAAGACACCGACAGCCCTAAAAAATCGAGCAGAAGCGAAACAGAATGCAGTGAGGGTACACAGCTTCTTCCAAAGGAATTATCATTTCGCTCAGTCAGGTATAACGTAAAAATGGATTTCTGTGATTTTCACCGACCACTGTCAGTTAAAGGATCAGGACGGTGCCCCCTTAATTTTTTCTGCTGCTATTGTGCGACTAATTCCAACTTTATGAATCACAAGCAGTGTAAAAAGAGGCCGAGAGGGGAGAAAGAATTTGGGGATTGGAGACCAGAGGCGGGGGAAAATGATATTTAATTCAAGTGACGAAGTACATTGTTCAAAGAAGCAGCAGCGATGCAAAAAATCTCTCATCCTTATTACTTATGCCATGTATATAGTCTGCTTTAGAGAGGTGTTCCTACCTCTTGTTCGAATTCGCGCTAGCCACGTACAATTTGCAACTGTATGAAAACAGGGACATGATAGCTTTGCCCACAAAATCAGTCTAAGAATACCAAATGACTGCTGTATCAGAGGCACTGGGTTCGCCATGTAGAAGATAGAACTGAGATAATTTGTTCCTTTCAGTTTGACCCTGCCTAAAATATATCCACTATAGAATGTTTTGATTGACGAAACGTGAGCCGTAAAAACACGTTCATTTTCTATCATGATCTCCCCAGCATTTCAGGCACTTCACATTGGGTCATCGTAAAAAAGCGCACAGTTAAAGAGAACTCAGCCGGGCTCGCTGCATGGACATGCGGTTTTTGTATCCGTGTTAAGTGGGAATTCGGTATTATCTTCTAAGCACCATAATCAGTGATGATATGAATGACGGTAAAGAGTGCCGCGGCATTTCAGCGCGCAGTTACTCCAACATCACTATTAACAAATCCAACAAGTCATAACACAGAAGCTGCACGGTTGAAACGGTGAGACGACTAATTCCAGGGAAATATTGAATTTGGCACTCACCTTGAACAATATCTCAAACAAATTCTGTTTCCAAAATTACTGCTTAAAACAGCTTCACTTCTCACTTTGGACCAGAAAAAGCCAATGTAAGTCTCGTTTAAAAGTGTTTCAGAATTGCTCAGTGGTTAGATGTGAATGACATTGAACCCGGTCAAATCCTTGTCATTCGATTGGCGAGTCTATCACTTATCTTTAACTAAGTGGCCATGAAGGAGCAAGCATTTTGCGAACCAAGTGGAGTAAATACTGGCGGTGTCGCTTTAGCTATCAACCCGAAATATGAAAATATTTTTGTTTCTACTAAATCCTATCTAACCACAACGTACGGGCTTGGTTTTCAAAAGGGTAAATATCTCGAGCAAAGCAGATGTTTTTTGCTGCGCCACGAGCATTCCATTCTAACTAATTGATAAATTAAAAAATTCATAATGAGCTTTACACACATTCTGTTTTGTATTTTGTAAAATTTTCACCATTTGAAATTCGTAAAATATCGTATCCAAATTTATAATTGCAAGATACCCAGCGTGGGAGTGACACAGGCTACGCGTTTTATTTCCTTTGTTCATTGTTGCGCGAGAAAATTAAAACAACCAGGCGTTGAACAGCGGTTGATGTTCCCAAAACAATCATGGCTTTGCTATGCCTAAAGAGTTTACTGTTTGAGTCCAAGTACACGAACAATGGTAAGCCAATACATAGCTGGGGGTCCTGCTTCTTGTGCCTTTCCTTCATTCAGAATTTAAATGAGCGCTAACTACGAATAAACTAAGAAAGGAATGCTGTGATCCTGTCTTCTTTCCGTCACTCATGTAGAACTGAGATAAAATGTCAGAGAATGGAGGCACGAACATGTAAATAGCGTATCCAAATGGTAAAGGAGACAGTTCTGATTGTTTAAGAACATTAAATTTTAACTGGTTAATGCCCTTTATTGTTAGATTTGGTATTCGCAGTGGTCGCTGGTCTCTGCTAAACACAACCAAGTTTTGTTTCAAGGGTTAGTCTCGATTTATTGCATACTGTTATGCCATTTTAAAAATAGAACACTAAGATTTAATAAAGATATTTAAATGAGTTATAAAAAATAGATTACAGCAAATGTCGTGTTTACGATGAAATATGACTGACTCCCCAACAAAACGAACTTTTTTTAAAAAATGAATGATTCAACATTGCTTTCTCGTAGTAAACAATGTTTGTCATTAAAAAAAAAGGCACGGTAGTTAAGAGCAATAAATGATGGGAAATGAATCTTATAAAGATAAGGCAGACAAACATCTCTGTAAATGATGTTTTACCTCATCTTCTGCAGTCTCTGACATTGGACAGGTGATTGGTACCGAAACAATAAACCACTTGCGGAATTGACATCGAAGTAAATTCAAGTTGTATTACAGTCGAACTTCTCCACAACGACCACCCCACGAAGGGATCAATGAGAAGTGGCCTTTAAAGGGGATACGGGGACGGTCACAGAAGTACACCTGCTATTTGTAATAATATTAGCCTCCAACATATATTTACGTAATACAATCAAAATATAACAATGATGGAAAACCAGCAATTATGTCTAGAAGTAAATTTTCACCCAAACAAAGGTGTCGTCAATGTATCAATTTGCATAATTAGTTCTCGCATTCCTGATAGAAGATAACTTCATATCTTTGAAGCAAAATAGCGCCAGAAGGGGTCAACTGCTTGAATTGAGCAAGTTGTCACACAGTTGGGGAGGGGGTGGTACATTGTGTTCAACAAAAGTAAGAGAAGATTCAGCTCTTTAGCGATCTTTACTTCTCCAGCCTGAATGGAATCGGCCTTCCTTTGAATCTCGCGGACTACGATGATCAATGAGTATTTATTTCAGGCACGTTCTTTAAATTTGTTCAAACGCTTCAATAGCTTTTACCTAACTGATTTTTTGTTGTCGTTGTTATTGTTGTTACACTGCTTTGTTTCAGTTTCATCCCATCATGACCTGAACTCTGATCGATCCCCTCATAGGACAGAGGACCTTAACATGGAAGGAATTTCGAGACAGACCATTTCATTATGTATCCATCTTTTACCATTTTCATTTCCCAGCAACGATATCAATCCGTCCTCAAAACTTTGTTTAGTGAAATAAATTGCACGTAATCTCATGTTTCAGATTTGCTTTTCTCACTAACGTTGCTGGATATTAGAGAGTTTTATGAGGATTATACTTACTGAGTTTTTTTCGGTTCCTGCTACTTAAGTCTGAATCACGCTTCAAAACTTAACATAATACACAGTTACGCTTCGAAAATGTTTTGCAAGTAAATTTAAGAGCCTATATGAATACAGATCAGATCTCCTTTCAAAAACACGTTCATCACTTAATGTGCACTGTTCCAATTTTTTCATAGTTGAAATTTAGCATCTGCAAAGTCACGCATTTGTAGCTGGCCAGTAAGCAGACCTATGCATTTACTCAGAACTCGTGTTTAAGCCAGCGAAACTTACCGTAAGAAAAAAAAACAAAACGTGAAATTTCGTTGCCTTGGACGAATAGAACTGGGGAAAAGTGGCATGTAACAAAGCAAAACATACTAAATCTGGTAAGCCGAATGTCTTATTATTACTATGGCGTATTTCGGGTTACAACTGCACCCGGATGTGGCGACTGGTATTCCTCCATTGCAGGTAACAGCCCCGATTTCCCAGGTGCAATCTTTAGTTCTGGGTAGAGAGAGAGAGAGGCATTGTGGGAGTGAAGTGTTATGGTCAAGAAAACAACTCACGATGACCTGGCCAGGGCTTCGGGCCCGAACCCGAACCACTTTTGCGAACGCCACTATAAAAGCATGTCTTGTATCTTGCAGACAGAATTTGTGATAAAACGCAGTCATGATGTCGTGTTTCTCTTTACTTCCACAATGTTTCCTTTGTTAACTCATTTGAATAGCAAATGAATTTTCCAAAGTATCGCATCGGTCACCTGTTATGCGGTTTACACTAGAACGACGTATTTCTCGAAGAGCCCTAAAGCTCTATCGAGTATATTAACAACATTGGTATAATTTTAGGATTGGATGGTGACTTAAAAATAACGTTTTCAAGATGACCGGTATTACATTCCTCTTTACTTTCCACTGCATAGCTTTTGCCTTGAAAAACCCAGGTGAGTTTAATTTTTAATCAACTACGTATGCATTCTTGTAGGAGCGAGATTTACATGTTTCAATTTTGCTATAACGAGCAGGCCAGAAACATTTTCGTCGCTATCATAAGACACCAATATAAAGTTATATTTTCATGTTTGACTTTTTGCAACATGACATTTAAAATTCCCTCATAATAAAAAATAGAATAACCGGTCACAAAACACGTTTTTAAAGTCAAAATATAGATTTGAAAAGGTGTTTCTGTGTTTATTCTAGGAAAAAGTGAAAAGCTGAATTTCAGATTTTTCAGACTGATCAAGCACGTGGCGTTCAGTCAAATATTTAAGATTCTAATTTTAGAGTTTTATGCATATCGGGAAGGAAAGGGTGGAGGAAAGAAAAAAATTCTATAACGATGATACATGCAGCCTGTCCCAAGCTTCCGGTTAGTGGAAACAAATGAAAAAGCGTAGGTGCTGAAAAATTGCGGAGGCGAACCGCTTACTTAACGATAGCGACCAATACAGTATTCAGAGAGGACTATGGTGACAAAATGATGATATAGTAACGATAGTATCATGCACATAGATTTTGTGCGCTAAGGGCTATAATAATAGTTTCACTACCGGGACGGAGATTAAACTTAGACGAATGTCTGAAGAAAATGTGATGCTGCGTCGGTAGGGGAATATTTACAAATGATGTAGTTTTATCAACCAAGTTGATAATTTAAATTACGGCACCGTGAACAGTTTCTAAAGCTGACGTTTCAGGCATTAGCCCTGCGACAGTGCGAAAGACGAACATTCAATTGGTTCTGACAGCTGGTCACCTTTGGAAGCTTTTAAGGTTAATTCCCACCTTCGCTGGTGTCCTATCAGAAGAAAGCTTAACAACTGCAGTTTACGATAAAAATACAATTTAAGCGACATTTCTTTTGAGGAAGTGTCAGGAACCGGTAAGGCGTGAAACGACCGAAGGTTCTTCTATTAAATTTATCGGGTATCGGATGCCGCAACGCGAGCAAAATGGCTGCACAGTCTTATTCACAAGGCATCAATCAACAAAAACGTATCGGGCTTTTTCGATATTCTGATTGGTTGTTTAGATATCGGCATCTTAAGTTGAAGTAGCTGAAAACATGAGAGGCGTATTGCGTAAATGGACGCCACGGGAAAAATATTTCAGATATCAAAGATTCCCGACACACTTCCGTTTGTCATTATTCCTAGAGTGTTTTGGCGAAATTTGACGAAAATCGGTCAAATCTATATAAATTCACTCAAAGTGGTTGTATTCCTCCCAAAATCAAATGCTAGATTTTAGCTCATAAAGGTTCGCAAACAACTAGAGCCACACCAGGAGATTATCTCGCCTCCTGAAATCGCAAACCAGTAGGACAACGGGACCTCCTGGCGTCAATGACGATGGATCAAGATTTCACAGGAAAAGTAACCCATAGCAGACACGTATATTTTTTTATCTCAATCGCTTAAAGAGCGTTGAGGAGGACGACACAATAATGAACTAAGTTTCCAAAAGCAAATAGGATATTCTGCCACTAATCGCTGGTTCCTTACAACTTGGACATCCCATGAATCAGAAAGCTCTATTCCGCAAACTTACTAAAAGAAACCGAGTCGCTGACACGATATCGTTGTTAATTCAGGCCATGGAGCCAATTGGGCCCATGAAATTTTTCCATCGTTTTTTTAACAGATGGGAAAGGTTTTACAAGGATTTAAAATCACTCTTTTAAACAGAAAGTGGCGAGACGTAAGAGAAACAACAACTAAAATATAAGTTAAATTTAACTCGAAATTCCTAGAGTTGATATTGTAAGAAATGTATGGCGCATAGTAAGGAGAATTCGTATGTCCACCCTGGAGGGAAAAAATCAACGAGTTACTCTCGTCTGAAGTTGTGAGTTTAAAACATGTGTCGTCAGTGTTGTTGTTAAAGGTTTGCACTACATTGACAACTGATCGACAGCGCCATTAGGGAAGGCTCAGGGAATCAGTTCTAGTCCTAAGATTAAGACTTAGAAACATCAAAGGGTTAAAATTAATCAGTGAATCAACGGGTTCAAAATGTTCTTATTAGTGTGCAGTGCAAGCGCCGTAGAGGAGAAGCTACGAAACAATATTATGAAAGACTATAACAAGAAAGCTCGCCCTGTGATCAAGGAAACAGATGTGGTTCACATTTTCATAGACATCGCACTGCTGCAGTTGATGAAAGTGGTGAGTGAAAAGTTTTATTGTGGTTTGCCCCTATTTCGAGATATTTTACTAATGAGCATCAAAGTAATCTGATTTTGCGTTAATAAGTCTTGCAGCGTTGTGCTCCCTGAGAAAAATTGCGCCACTCTCTCAACCAATCAGATACAAACCTTGAAACAGTTCGAAATTGCTCACTCCCGCTTTCCCGTGCTAGTGGTGGTGGTTTACATGATTTACCTTCGTATTTGGATTGTCATCGGCTTCTCGTGATCTTCACTCAGTTGTGATGAACTGTTACGAGACAACAAGAGCTGTGCATGTTATCTTGACTGTTATGATTAGTTTGGCTTTACAAAACTGAATCGAAAAGCAGTCCAGTCTTTCAACTTTCACTATAATTTTCAGGTGAGTCACCGGTTGCACTCGGCTGCACTTCTTCAGGTGAAAGTCAATATAGCGTTAGCTGAAACCACGAGATTACAAAATCTCCTCGTGAAATCGATTAAACTAAACAGCCTTTCGATTTAGAATGAGCTTGCCCTGCGGTTTCCCACAATAGGGCCATTGCGATTTCCTACTAAAGGCTCATGAGCTTAGAGGCAAGAGGCCGTAAAACGTTTTCTGCAGATTATTGAAATTTGATTGTGTGTAATAACAATCAATAAAATACAGAAGAAGCGGATTTGTGAACTTGTCGAGAATTTGCGAGACCTAAAGTGCCCTTTGGAAAGATCATTTGCCACCCATTGCAAAGCAACGGTTTTTTGTGTTTTTGAATGGATTACTTTTTGTTTTGATTTGTTTTGTTGTACAGTTTTTGTTATTATGTGCTCTTTACCCGCGTTTTTTGCTAACGCAGCGTTACGCCTACGTTCAGAGCTCTTCAAATAATTATTGTTACTAAAGAGAGGTTAAATGAATGAGCCCTTTGTCCAAACTTGACTGGAAGTTTAAAGCCGGCTAGCATGATTTTTAACAAAGAGAACAATTGAAGAAACTTTCTCGATCGGAAAGGCTATTCTTATCGATAACATGGTCAAGAAAACTTTTCTTTTTATTTGCTGCACAATATAATTTTATGCCACTGCATCACTTCTAAACAGATTCAAGAGTAAGGATCATATTTTGGTAAATTGTTTTAAAAACTTACCGCTCTCAAAAAGAAAGGCTTCATCGAACAACCAGTGTGAATGGAGTTCTCCTTTACGAATTGAGCTTCAGCCAAACTCTTCATTTGGCCAGGACTTCAACACGCAAGATCCAAGATGGAAATGAGAGTTCCGTGTTCAGTGATAAATTTAGCATTGCAAATGCCTCTGAAAATAACCACTTACATGACTTAAAATGACCTATATCTTTAAAATTAATGGCTCATATCTTAGTTACATGACATGCTTCAAAGAATGTCAGCAAATGAATGTATCAAGAAACTCTCGAGGGCAGCATTTAAGCATTGTAACAAATTCAAACTCTTTCTGTTTGTGAAAACTAGTTCAAATGTCAGCCAAACCATCTTCAGTGCCCGTGTAGGCGTGTGTTGAGTAATAATTATCTTAATCATGTCAAGAAGCATGTACTTGAGGATATGTAATTAGTGGCGTGCCGTCCGCATTGTTAATTGCATCGATTGATGTCAGTGAAATGCCGTAAATCTATCATTTTTTTTTTTTAAGCAAGAAACCACGGTGGCCTTCATTTAGGGTTCCCACTATGAGGAGGTTGTTGTTAAACGGAGTAATATAACACAGTAACGAGTACGCTCTTGTAAGTAAGTGATTCCGTCACTTTTTGGAAGCTTACGGAGCAATCTCACGAACACAGCTCGGGTTTATTGTAGTTCTTTTAATTTCTCCTTACCTTAAACACGCGAGTTTTTATCATAAAATTAATTTTTTTAGAGTATATTGAAGGGGTCGTCGAACCAAAACTAAATACGGGTTTAGTCCCAAACCCTAACTTCTGTGAATTGTTTCGATTGTTTACGATCTGATGTGAAAAACGAGCCGTGGGAGCAGTTAGAGGTCATTGGCTGATTGAGTGATTACTTAGAGGTAACCAGCACCTGCGCATAAACGCCGGAAGTGCTTTTTTGGAAGAATAAGTGTTAACCTCAATCGCGTCGTCGAGTAGGCTTTCCCACAGTAAGCCTAAGTAACTAAACTTCCCACAGTGAAATGACAAACCTTTCATTCTACTCAAAGTGATCTACATTTCTAGGCATGCATGCGCATTTATCTAACCGAAGGACCATTCTTTAACTGATACAAATTTATATATTCGCACTGCGGTGAAGAAACGAAATTTAAAGATCCTCGCAGCTAATAACACTACTGAAACGAGTAGTTGAAAATAGGACCTGAAAAATATTCAGGCCCGTGCAGATTTGAACCCATGACAGTTAATTTAAGGATTAATCAAATTAAGAATAGGAATCAATTAAGAATATATGAATTTCATATATCTAAAAATCATCATTCATCACTTGGATGGTTTATTTGGACCCAACACATTTATTTGGACCCAGTTGGCTTGTTAGCTCAGTTAGAAGAGCGCTGCACCGGTGTCGCAGAGGTCCTGGGTTCAAATCCCGTAGGGGCCTGAATTTTTTTCAGGTTCTATTTTTCAACTACTCGTTTCAGTAGTGTTCTTAGCTGCGAGGATCTTTTAATTTCGTTGATACAAATTTAGACAAACGTTTTGACGGGAAGGGTTTTGATAGTTTGTTTACTTTGGATCCCAATTAGTATCTTGGAGGCACGGGCTCGAATCTCGTTAAAGCCTGAGTTTTTCAGGCTTCTCTTCTGCAATTGTTCAAATTTTGGCTTACCTGCAAAGAATGTTCCTTTCGTTTAGACTTTGTTCCGTTGTATCATGGCAACCTCATTCCTCCTAGAGGAAGAGAGAGCACACTGGGAACGAGGTTGGTTTCGTGAAAGCTCAGCTGGCGTGACCAGTAAACTACTTCACGTACTTCGCAGACTTCACTGTCCTAACGAAGCCGCAGCGAGCATGGAGCGTCTGTTAGATGAAGAGTATAAAGGCGAATTGCTTCAAAGCCTCAACGAGCTCAGGAAATCGAACAGTCTGTGCGATACAACGATCAAAACCGAAGGAAAAGATTTCCCAGTTCATCGATGTGTTTTAACAGCCGCCAGTCCCTACTTCCGGGCGATGTTTACCTCAGAGTTCAGGGAAAACGATAGCGGCTTCGTAGAGCTAAAAAACATAACAGGTGCCATAATGAATGAAATTATTCAGTTTATGTACACTGGGAAAGCGGAAACTGACTCATCGAGTGCTCAAGAGTTGATTATGGCGGCCGACTTCTTGATGCTGCCAAGTTTAAAATTGAAAGCCTCGAAATTCCTGGAAGGAACAATCAGCGTCACGAACTGCCTTGCGCTAGAGTCTTTCGCTCGGCAGTTTAACTGTGATTTATTGAAGCAGGCCTCAGTCTCCTACAAAATGGAAAATTTTCCCTCTGTGGTGAAAACAGATGATTTTAAATCACTGGACTTCGAGAGGGTACAGGACTTGATCTCACGAGACGAAATAGTTGTCTCTAAAGAGGAAGAAGTTTACGAAGCAGTGATTATCTGGGTTAAGCACGAAGTCGCATCGCGAGAGTGCTTACTACCAGAGCTCCTGAAATGCGTGAGAGCTTCCTCGATGTCAAAGTACAGTCTTAAAAGGATCATTGATCGAGAGGACTTGGTTATAAAGGACCCAGCTTGTATGAAAATTTTGATTCAGTGGCTCAGGGCTTTTCTTTTTCAAGATTATGTATTGTTACAAGGGCCTCGATTATGCCTTAAATTTAAGGAGACAGTGGTAGTTCTTACTGGTGGTCACAGGTCAGGAATTTCAACCTCTACCACCCTTGGCTTTGTTCTTGCTACAAAGAAGTGGTTACAATTACCTATGATGCCATGTCCCCGAACACGACATGCTGCTGCAGTATGTGGTGGTCAGTTGTATGTGGTTGGAGGTTTCTCAGAGATCCCATTATGTTGCTTCAATCCTGTTCAAAATGAGTGGTTTTCTACTGAAAAGAACCTGCCATTCCATCCACATAGTGCACTGGTTGCCCTTAATGAAGAACTGTACCTGATTGGTGGAGATTCTGATAATAAGCGTCAAGTTAGGAAGTACAAATGTAACCTTGATCAATGGGAATTTCTGTCACCAATGGCATTTTCTCGAGCTGCACACTGTGCAGTTGTCCTTGAGGAGCTCATCTATGTAATGGGTGGTCATGATGATAATGTGTGTTTAAGGAGTGTTGAGTGCTACAATCCTGCTAATGATCAGTGGACTCAGATTTTAGATATGAACAATGCAAGAAAATTTTCTGCTGCAGCAGCCATCACTAATGGAAAAATCATTGTTGTAGGTGGTTATAGTGACATGGGCTTTACAAGAATTGAAGAAACTTGTGAAATCTTTGACAAAAGTTTGAATCAGTGGAGCTTGGTTTCAAGCCCCACAGTACCACGTGCTGCATGTGGCATAGTCAGTGTGAAAAGTGCTGTTTATCTGTTTGGAGGAGAAGATACTAACAACTCTGTATATAAACTTGACAGTGTAGAGTGTTATATTGTCCAAGAAGATAAGTGGATCCATGTTAGCACCATGCCTGAAAGTCTCTCTTGCCTTCAGGCTTCACTCATTCAATTTCCTGTGAAACATATGACAGAAGATTGAAATTGAAAAAGAGAGAAATTAGATTTTATTCAGTGTAGTGTGTTGGTCTCTCTCTGGAAGAGTTTCATAGAGGATATTACATGGCCAAGTAGAGATATGAAATCTCTCTTAGAGCATTGAAATCCATGGCTGAGCTTGTAAACCATTAACCCTTAACTACTATGAGTGACCTAGACAAAATTTCTCATTACAATATCAACAGAATATCAAGGAGAATAAAGGAAAACATCATTTAGGTATAATAAGTTGATCAAGAAAAATTTTTTCCTTACAATGTTAAAAGGGTATCAAGCAGACAGTGACAAGAATAAAGGAAAATATTAATTAGGGATAATTAGTTGATCACATCCCAAATTCTCCAAATTAAAAAAAGAATTGTATGGCAGACATTAAGGACAATTAATAACTTGATCTTGTGAGTGAAAAGGTTAAACTTTCATTTAGAAATGTTTTTTATGTTATATTTCAATTTACTAGAAAAAGCAAAATAAAGGGCTCTAATGACATGATAATAAGCCAGCATGGATGGTCTTAAATTAGAGTAGTAAATGTTTTTACAAACCTTGCCTGAACTACTATGAATTTCTACTAAACATGTAACTTTAAAAACTTTAAAATGTATCCAGTTTACCATTCATAGAGCAGATGAGTATGACTTATTTACCGAGTGTGGCTCACGACTGTCCATAGTCCTTTATCACTGATTACTCTCAATTATTTCTATCGTCATCATTATTATTGTCATTATTTTTATAACTGTTATCAAGCATATCTATTTTTGTGATTTAGGATAAAATAAAGGAGAGTCAGCAGTCGCATATTCCCTAACAATTCTTCCTCTGAGTCCAGTTTTCTTAGAACTTTGAGTATTGGTATTTGTAGAGGGGTTAAATCAGAGGCAGCAAGGGAACACTAACCCCAACCCACCATGTTAGGCAGTCAAACCTGGGTCAGGTGTTCTCCATTTCCCCAACCTTGGATTTTGTTGGGTCATGGCACCTTCTCTTGATTGTTGTTGTTTTTTTTTTTTGTAAAAAAGATGAAGGAACAGTTATGAGAAACATGAGCTCAATGACCTCAGTTCTTAACAAAAGTAATATCTTCTCAACATGATACAATTTTTACTAAGTTTTGAAAACTGAAAAGAAAACCTTGTTAGTTAATTATTAGTAATTTGAAAATTTGCTATGAGTTGAGCTTATTGACATCCAGGGATAGACAGACTACAAACAAAATGATGTGAGGGTGTGTGTGAGGGGAAGGGGGATGGGAAAAATGTTTTTTAAAGAAAGCTTTTTTTCCCTCATAATTATTAGGAAAACTATTTTTAAACATTATTGCAAAAGAGAAGCTACCAAAAGATGGAGGAAACTCAGTGAAAATACCAAAATTTGGTATCAAATAAAATACCTTCCCCCCCCTTAGCCAAACCTGATTAGGTTTCTAGTGGTCCACCCTAAGTAATCACATGGTACTAAAACTAGTGGTATATGTCATTATTATAGTAACACATTATGGGGGCAACAGGTCCATCAACATACACCCATTTATGACTACATCTTAGGTATTCCTTTGATACTTGTGTAACAAAGCCATGACTCAATGAAGATCAACAGCCTGGACAGATCAGAGGGAAAGGGCTGTAAAATGTATGCTGTGAACTGATCTGCACCTACTTAAGGGCAAAGAAAATTACAAATCTGAAAGATTGATGCGAAAGGAGGTTACCGTTAACCTGTTACCCCTAAGAATGACTAGCACCTAATTTCTCCCTACGGTTTTACCAGTTTCACCAAATTAAGAAGCCTTTTATTATCAAACTCTCCATGTTAGTTAGTAGAGAACAACATGGGAAATATCCATACATTATTAGGGTGTGAAGGATTAACAGCTGCTTAAGGAGCAACCTTTCTCCTTTTCTTTATGGAAAAGGGAATCCTAGAGAAGAGAAAGTCCTCACTTCCTACCTTGAGCTCATAGAGGACTCAGTTAAAACAATCTTCCTCTGGATTATCAAGAGGGGTAGTTCTCAACTTTTAAAACCAGTCTTCTCACTGGGTTGGCTGGCATGGGAGGTTGTGTACAAGGATATCGTTGAGGTTAAAATTGGGAAATAGTGGATTGGCTGTGGCATTCGTAATAGTTTTCTTATATCCAGCAGTCTTGGTCCCACTCATAATTGGTCATTTCGTGCCAAAAGTGTTGAACTAGTGTCTATCTTTTTTTTCTACAGGATGAAAAAAGCGAAGTCATTACCACGAACGTATGGGTGAGGCAGGTAAGAGAAATAAGGGCCATCCCGCTAAAAGAGACCTTCAAAAAATAGCAAATGATAGAATTGTTCAGTTATCATGATCTGTTTGACAAACAGATTCCATGTTGCCGTGCGTCTGTTTAGTAATACATCACAGATGACGTCAAAATGTATTAAGAACAAAACGTAACGCACTAGACACAGCCGAGTGTGTCTAATGTTTTTACCACATTTTCACGTCTTCTCTGATTTATTACTGTACAGACCTGTAGCAACATGGAATCTATTTGTTTTATGGGATAAAAAAAGAAAATGTTTTTCATGGTGACGTCATCCATGTGTTTGTCGTCCAATAGATCACAGGTTAGAGCCAATCAAAAAGCGTGTATATTCTCCTGTTATCATATAAATTTAGATAACCCAATCTGACCGGAAGAAAGAAAAGCGATCTAGCGGCAAACTATTCGAAGTTTTTCATGTACATCGTATGTTTTATTTTAACTATTTACAGTTTTTAGCTCATATTATTTTTATCAAAGTATTAGACCACACTCTCTGCTTACTGAAAAAATGCCTAAGGGGGATTTTGGGAGCATACGAGAAAAGGTTTAAAATCATATGCCGAAGGCGCGTACGTTACAAATTTTTCGTGTGCGGTATATTGCCATTCTAAGATTGCTGTGGGTTTACCGGTACAATAATCAGCGCGGGGAGAACCTCCCCCAACGGTTATGTTATAAAATGGTATTTTCAGCTGTTCCCTTCTAATTTGGAGTTAATTTGCATTTAAGTAAGACTGAAGGGTGGCTCGAAAATTGCTTTTGTGTTGTATTACTGAAATGAACAGTAATTGCCTGTCGAAGCTAAGCTCAGTGAACGTTTGCAATAAAATAGGAGAGTTTTCCAATGTTTGCATGGAAAATTTTAGCAGTGTACGCTTCTAAAGAGCAATTTCACTCTCTTACTAAGAAGTATTCTGATTCAACCTGGAGAGAGTGGACGAAGAGTGAACTCTTTCCATTACTGATCATGACGCTACCTTTAAACTTTCGTCCCGGTTTAAAAGTTTAGTTGGAACATTAAAAAATATCAGTACCTTTCTAAACTAGTTAACTTTTTAATATTTTAGTACTGGAATGATCCAAGATTTTCCTGGAACAAGGCGGAATATGAAAACATTACACAGATCATCATCAACCCTGAAAAAGCTTGGCTACCAGATGTTGTGCTATTAAACAGGTGAGACTTAATACAATGTCTGAACCACTTTTTTACATCAGCAACACGATTCAAAGCTCGATTAGTTCAATTACGTTACGTGGATGTTATCAAGGACGAGGAATCGGTATACCTTCCGATCTAGCCTCCTAGAAAGCTATGATGTTTGCACTTGGCATTTGTATGACCTAGACTTCTCCCTACAGCCTCCAAGCACTTCATTATGAGTGGTAGCTTGCAAGACCCACATCTCTTGCAGTTTATATTAAACTCTAAAGTATAAGTGTACTAGCTCGCCAAATGATCGGCCGAGATGACCGTTGGCGAAAGAGAGTTTTCCATCTCTGCACTTATGATTGCACGTAGTGATGGAAAAACTACAGCCTTCTGGAAAGAGTCTAGAAATTGTTTCATCTTGAAAAAAACAATTGTTAATGATGGCGCGCGAGAATGAATAGAGCCAAGACCTTCTCTGTTTTTCAGCGCCGAAGCGATGTCAGACGGGCGTAGTACCGCGGCTCGCCTAGTCGTGAAGCACGATGGGAATGTATCTTGGTTGAACCCAGTGATTATCACGAGTTCTTGTGTAATTGACATCACCTTCTTCCCATTGGATGACCAAAGTTGTGAGCTCAGATTCGGTTCGTGGTCGTACAGCAGTGAATTCTTAGATGTTCATCCGAGGAGAGATAGCGCGGATCTAAGTTCGTAAGTGTTTTCAACGAAACTTTTGATTCTTAAGCAAATAATTATTAGTGATAAAATATTCCTGCAATAATTGGGAGTCGCGTTTGCACTCACTTTGACCATATAAGCATTTGAACTGCTTTATCAATGACAATTGCTCAAGTTGGTTACCTTAAGGGCAATTATTACGATGTTAATCAATTACTTTAAAATGCAGGTACGTCGAGAATGGTGAATGGACTTTACTCGGGGTTAAATCAGAACGCAGACTGTTAACTTATGATTGTCGTGAAGAAGAGTTCCCGTATGTGACGTACCATGTGCAAATACGCAGACGTACTCTGTTTTACATGATGAACTATATTTTGCCATGCGTCCTGATTGCAGTCCTAACCCTGCTCGTCTTCCTACTGCCGCCCGAATCTGGAGAGAGAATGTCTTTTGGAGTCACGGTGTTACTATCGTTTACTATTCTGCTGTTGATGCTAATGGTGAGCATGCTTTCAACTCAGGCTCACAGACCCTCTCATACAGTGTAAATCTTAACCTACATCGATCCAGATCGGAGACATACGTAGGTCTAATTATCGTAAATCCTCACTGAAGGATCCTTTCTTATGTGTCATTTTTTCATGTGGCACGGTATTCTTTTTATCAAATTCTAATATCAAGCATTTCAAACAAACTATTTCAAACCTACAAAGTTTTGCATCATCGTTTTGTTATCGCATATAAGTGAGGGATATACGGAAAGAGAAATTTCTCACCTCTAAGACATTTGAGCGCGTACGAAAAAGATTAACTGGCTACGGGCTAGAGCTGTTTTATTTCCGAGAGGCATTACTTTTGCAAAGATCTTGTGTTCTTTTTGAAGTGTTATGATGGGTAGTTTAGTCGACTATGTTTTTTCTCCGGTAGGCAAAGCTTCCTGCCACCTCCAAAGACACCCCACTAATTGCTGTTTACTATGCCTACACTTTCATCGAAGTGTCAGCGGCAATGGGAATGGCCTGCCTCATGCTTCGTTTTTACCATCCTGACAATTCCTCGGCCCCAATTCCCGCCTGGATCAGGGTACTTAAACATCATTTTACAACTTTAGTTATGTATTCGCCTATATAAGGAATACTTTTTTCTGCAAAATATGTCAGACGTGTTAAATGGTTCAGATTGGCCCGACTGGTGTTTTATGATCTCCATAAGACAAGAGACTATTTTTGGTATTCAATAGCCTGGTTCTCTTTTTTTCACGATAGGTCTGTGTCCTTAACTACTGCGCACGCCTGGTGCGTTTAAGCACATCCGCTGGACGTGTCCGACAAGTGCAGATCGTCCAGGAGTGGCGTCAAGGTTGGACTGTAATGTTTATTGTTTCCTGTCGTGGCCATCAATTAATTCTACCCCACCACCAACGGTTCATTGAAAAAATAAACATGCAGGAACATGATATTACATCTAGAACACCGGGTAAAGGATCAATAATGTGTCTAAAAGACGGACAACGATTTGAGATCTAATGGAAAATCTATTATGAAAAAGACATCAGCGTAACTTTTCAATTAACCCTTCATTCCTTCCTTTCTTTAGAAAATATTTCAGTTAGTGCAACTTCAAATGTTGGAGAAGCGTCAGTTTGAAAAGATTGTTATGTACAGACGTTTATATTGCATGACTGGAAACACGAATATAAGTAGTATTGCGAAATTTCAGATTACATTCATGTTCTCCACTGAATCACACGTGCCTGAATTAAATTTAGTAACGTTACCAAACAAGGATACATGTCTACTTCCTGGTGTTAACTACCAACGAAATTCAATTTTCTGTCACATTGTGCGAGAGCGTTGGAGTTCCTACGGTTTATTCTATTCTATTTATCTTAATTAATTAATTAATTAATTTATTTATTTTCGTTCCAGTAAAGCTACGTGAAAACAGGGGCAAAGAGCAAACGAACATGACAATTTTGACAGACAACATCCTCAGGAAAGAAGAAGCAGACACCATGAGAGAGGAATGGAGGATGGCAGCCATGATTATTAATCGCCTCTTTGCTTGGATCTACCTCATCACCATCATCATAACATTGGCAGCCGTGCTGCTAAAGTCACCACGATTTAGGAAAGGGGAATTTTAACTTAGTTAAACAACCTCTCTCACGACAAGTCCTTACTTACCGAAGATACTTAAAATCTCGTTAAATAACTTTTGAAAGTATGACAAAATGAAAAAATTGTAAGCAATTTAGCCGTATGATAATTTTGACTTTTAAACATATCAGGGATTCTAAGGTAATACTTAACCCCTTGAACTACACGACGAAAATATATCTTTAATTGCAGAGAACTTTATTCTCAATTCAAAAAGCAACATATAGAATTAAAGCAGTACAAGTAACCAATTTTTCCAGACCAGTAAGGAGCTGGTGAAATGCGAGTATACCTTCATTGTGGATTTACTGAAAAACATTGACACTTAGCATTCATCGCTTTGAAGATAGTTGCTCTTGAATGTTAAAATGTACTTTTAGAATATACTTTTATGGTTGATTACAAACAGAAAAATACATTGATTTTCCATTCGTTTACAAATAACATTATGACTGCAAAGATTTTGGATTGTTTTGTCAGTTTTATTTCCTAATTGTTTGCTTGTTTGTCTCTTCATCTCTAAAGAAAGGAAAAATAGATTGCTAGGATTGTCATAAGCTGATTATGTTCTGATGAGCTGACGCACGTAATAATGATATGAGAGGAAGTGCACGAAGTACATCTTAGTACATCTTAGGAAGTCACGTTCCTCACTTTTACTGACCCCTTGGCTTTCATTCAAAAGCAAAGACGAAAGCCTCAATGAAAATCCTGGCATGGGATCCTCACTTGAACTTTTAACTTCTGCGTTTTATGTACTCTTTCTTTTTAAACGTCTCGAATTCACTTCTAATACACTGACACACACACACAAGATGTTCAAATTCACTAGTTTATTCGTCATGCTGATAACCGACACCAAAACTTTCTTTGTCACTCTCCGGTCTTCAAGGAGCCACTCTTCTACATTTGAAATATCAAAACATTTCTACTTTAAATTACGATACACATAGTTGAACCTCTGGCAACGCGATGTGCTGTAAAAGAGGACAGAGATAGCTACTACTGCTTATTTGGTAAACAGTTTTCTTAATTTCTACCTTATAGTTCAAATTGCTTCTTTCAAAGTTCGATTTTATTCCCAGATATCATTTTTACAACCACCGTAGTCGCATCGCACAATCCGACGATTGACCTTCTAAGGGGAACACAAGGAAAGCCCCTGCATAAAGTAATAAAGTAATACAAACTGACTATATTTCTAGAACATAAGAGAACTATGAAAATGCTAGTATACCAGTGTGGTGGAGATAGAAAAGAAAAATCAAAGAAGGCTGTAATAAATTACTGTTAGAAAACTGAAATTTTGTTTCAAGCAATGATGATATGGCTTCGTATAACCAGATAAATACATGTATCCACTAGCAAAAAATGTCCTGATTTTGTAGATTGTCTCTTTTGTTTGTTTGTTTGTTTGTTTGTTTCTCACGTTTTAGCAATAAACGTATTTTTTGGTCAGTTGTGAGATGGCACACATTCTGGCCTAAGTTATTTTACTATTGATAATGAGATTCATTAAAATATTTTCACTCAGTACTCTTTTTCCGAATTTCCTTCGAGGCAAGGATGTTTGGGGCTGATGTTTCTAAATTTCAGCATTGCTCGCACACCGCTTACCACCGCTGCAAAGTTCCTCCGCTGACCGAGTTTTATCGGTATTTTCGGGTCCATTTGAAACCATGGATGATTCAGCGCCTCCGCAGCTGTCATTCTCTCGCTGGGTTTTACGACAATTAATCGTTGCACAAAGTCTTTAGCTTCTTCTGATACATTGTCCCAATATGGCGAAGGCATAGTATAATGACCTTGTAGAATAGATAGTAGTAATTTTTCGTCGCTGCTACTCCAAAATGGCGGGTAGCCCACCAATAGAATAAATGATATGACGCCACACGCCCACATGTCAACTGGTTGACCAATCATTTCCTCTAAAATTGTCTCTGGTGCAAGGAACAGGGGCGCGCCACTCGCTTCACAACCGATGACGTCAGAGTCGCGTGGCAGTCTTCGAGCCAAGCCAAAGTCAGCGAGTTTTACAATCAATTGTTCGGAAATTCTGGATCGACTGAGAAGAAGATTGTCGGGCTTGACGTCTCGATGGATGATTCGCTTGGCATGAAGATACTCCAATGCTTTTAAAAGCTGCGAAATAAAGAGAAATCAATTTAGATATAGACCCTTGGCAGGATACTAAAATCACATCAGCTGCCATTGGATTAAGCTCGTTTGATACACAAACGAATTACGTCACATTTGTGCGTGTGTCTGCAGTTATTCGATACTTTGTTTTGAAACCTTGCCGTTGTCAAGGCCGGAGCTGTTCCGTTATACGCTCGAAAATTATTTGTGACGCCACGCCTTTCATTGAGAGGCGAAACTTATTTTGCGACAATATTGAGAACGTTGTCTTGTCACAAGTACTTTTTTGAAATGTTTTGACATCGATATATAAAATCGAAATAAAACTGTGTTTACTTTTCATTAGACATTGATGAGTGAACTTTATGCTGTTCTGACAGAACTTGTTATAACTGAAAGCAAAAGGCGTCCTTCATTGTTCAGTGTTTTTAGTCTTTGGCTTCAATTTTTACCCATACCCCGGTTCAGAGAAACTGCTCGAAACTGTTTAGCTGGCGAAATTTTTCGCTCACGCACCATGTAAACGATTTAAAACCGACGTAATTTCAGTATGGGAAGTTATGTAATATCGAGACTTTGTTTCATCAACAAACATATACTTATAAGGTTTCGTTTTTAAGGCAGAAATTTGAACCACAGAGGTCATGAATGTCATAAGATATGCTGGTGACGTAAATTTATTCAGATTGGTGTATCAGTGCCTTCCGTGCTGCTTTGTCACAGCGCATCTTATTTCCTTTAGTGGGAAAAAATTTTCGATAAATCGATTAGCTTTGACGGAACTTACGTTCGTTTTAATAACCTGTGTAAGGAACAGGCCACTTACAAATTAAACCTTCACAGAAGATAATCTCTCTTTCTCAGAAGGCAGAAAAACATCCATTAAAAATTCCATTTTTTCCGTAAAATAAAAGTTCCATCTATGTACTAACTGAACCTAGCACTCAAAGCAAATGTTCGCCTAAAGTATTAAAAATTAGCTAAGTTCTATGAATTTAAAACAGAAAAATTAAATAATGATTGAACAAATCTTACTTGTTTTATGAAAGAGCGTGCTTGTTGTTCACTGTAAAAGCTGTGTCCCAAAATTTCATCAAACAAACTGCCGCCATCGACATTTTCACATACGAAATGCACAGAAGAGTTTCCCTGGAAGGCTTGGTGCAACGAGACGATATTTTCGTGTTGTAAATCCTTCCAAATCTCCATCTCCTCTCTGACTGCCTCGCTGAAAGAGAAGCCCTCATCAAGCCGTATTTCCTTCACCGCAAAAGTTTTACCACTCTGCTTCTCTTGGCACCTGTAAACCTTGGCGAATGATCCCTCTCCGATAAGTTCTTGAATTTCGAATTCATCTTTGAATATGTGTGCATCTCTTTCAAAATATCGCGATGGCATCTTCCAATGATTCAGAATAGACTGCAGGATGTTTTGCTCTCCTTGACGATTAGCAGTTGAGAAAGTTCCTATATAGTAACAACACCGTAACCCGAGTTTATAATTGTCAACAGCATAATTTCAACTGACCAATGAGAGGCCTTAAATGCCGAGTTTCCTGAGGCGTTGATACAGGAGACGATTTCCTGTGCTATTTTGGTACATTGGCTAATATGTCAGCTTCTTTTGAACTCTGAACTCAGATTACATCGATATTTTTTTGTCACAAGGCAGACACGTAGATATGAGATTATACAGCGCGATCCATCTCGACTTGCTGTGTATGGTCGGCTTTGTTGCGAAATATTGGGTGTTAACTTTTCATGTCAGATGAGCCAATTAACAAAATTTTTATTCAGAATTCTATGGTGGTTTCCGTGTCAACCGCGTTTCTTAATGCTAATCCTCACGTTTGCTACGAAATTAAAACGGCTGACCTTTCTAGCTAATTACTTATCTCGTTGACAGAGGGCTGCTGCTTGCTGGCTGCAATCGATCGCGGTTAGCAAGCGCAAAGAAATTCGCGAGTGAATATTAAAAGTTTCAAACTTCATATTTCCTTCCGCGAAGGAAATTAGCGAATCAGTTCAAAGTCAGTAGTTCCTCCTGTAGGTGTGTCGTTTCATATCATAAATGTTGATTTGAATGCTTCAGATTCTGGCGGTGTAATGACTCAAGCACACCCAGATGTCATCACTCAGCAATAATGGTGAATAAAGGAAACCGAAAAGGAACTTTCGTGCTGTTATTTGTTTTTTGAACTTCTGTTGAAAGAAGACAAAAAGTTGTACTCTGACGCGCACAATTAAAGAAAAAAAAACAACGTCCATCTAAAATAAGCAAACAACTTCAACACATCCTCACAGGCAGCCCAAGCTCCAGCTGTGAGACGATCATCTTGCGAAAAAAAAGTCATGGCGAAATTGTGAGAGTTTGTTTGGGAATATTTACTACCGCTCTCAGGAATAAAAGATAAGTCAAATTCGCAACAAAAATATCTCTCCTCATACTTTCACAGTGCATTGCTTGTTGTCTGACCGCTTATTATATTGAAAAGAACCCATATTTAGCGAGTTATTCATTTCTAAGTTTACCACATAAGAGGGCTTAAAAAGTGGAATGAACCGAGGGCGTTCAGTGAACTACACTTCATTTGAGATGTGGAACCGATCTCATCCTATTCAAAGAGGATGCGGCCAAAATGTAGGTAATTGTAAGTCCTGAGCAAGCGGTAACTTGGCTCAAGACTCCCAAACAAAATAAATGTGGCCGAATCGTCGGGACACCGTTTTGTATAACGCCCCACGAACTAAATACATTCTTAAACGTCGGCGGAGGCGGTTGTTTTTAATTCCAAAGCAGCATAGCATGTACCAATGAAATGACTTAATTTCTTATCAAGTCTAGTCTTGGTGGATACCGTTCGAAACACATCCATCTCTCAGCATTCCAACAATTTCTCGGTAAATCAGTCACACATTTGAGAAATTACCCAATCAACTCAAGGTACATCAAGACTATAAAAGTGAGCTTATACTAGATATTTCATCGGAAAATACCTTCCCTTCTTGATTGTCACTAATACACTGTTATCTGGAGGCCTTTCACGAATCAGCACATCGCCAATCTGATTAGAGTTTGCCATGACCCGCGATTTAGGGCGTTGACAAAGCATCAAAATTATTTGTTTAAGTGTAGTTTATCCTGGTGTATATCATTCTGTCTTGTCTGATTTTATCTCTATCCCATTTACAGAAGATTTTTCTCGTGAGGTTTTTAGGTAAACGAACACCGATCGACGACTCGATCTCCACCGAGTTTGTCCACGGATGTTCTTGACAAAGGAAACATCGCAGGCCTATTTCCTGAACAACAGGAATTGATCGTGGCAGACCTCAACCACTCATGCGATCAAGAAAATAGTTTATAAACTCTTGGCCTAACTTTGCCTTTACGTCTTACCTATTGATAGACATTAGTGGTTATAGTTTTTCCTTTACTAACCATGTGGTGTCGACAGAGTGGTGTGATCAACCGAAGCATCTTCTGAGGGTATTGTGGATGGGGAGGTTGGAGTGAGTTCGTCAGTAGGCCGTGTGCAGATCTGGAATCGAGTCTCTGCAAGAATCAAAATGGCGGCTGCTTGGCGTTCAAACCTTGGTAAACATGTCAGAGAAATCCGTATTCACTTGTGTCAGAAGTCCCACAGTAGTCAAGGTGTAAGGTAACTAACTATGGAGGACGATTATTCCAAATTTTGAAGTACTTGAGTTATTTATAACGCTATTTGCGTAATTAATCTGCGGATGAAACTCTTCTTTATGGACTCGATCGCCAGAAGTACAAATATTATACTTACAGAAAAAATAGCATACAACAATCATTTTAAAGCGATACCAGAAATCAACTCAAGCAAGGTGATGTTGTAAAGGAGGGGTTTGTTGAAATCACTGGTGATCATAGGTCGACCGTTCGTTATCATGTTTTGGTCTCCTCATTTAAAAACATTTTAAGCTGTTGATGGCCACTAAACTCTTAAGGTACTTACACACTGCAACATGACATACCCTGTGCCAATCGGTTTTAAAAAATCTCTGAATAACAAATATAAAAGAAGTAGAAGAATTCACAAATTTCTTTATCTCAGACAGAAATTTATGAGGTGGAACTTTAACAGATTATTTGTTAACAAACCCCTTTGTGTCTTTTTGATATTTTTTTGTTTTCTTTTTGTGCAAATATTTAATTAACCTGTGGAATTTCTAATCAGGGACTTCTTGGAGAAATACTACATTGGCATCAAGAAAGAGAACCCAAAAGTTCCCATCTTGGTTCGTGAATGCAGTGGAATTCAACCAAAGATGTACGCAAGATATGGTAAGAACTAAGATAAGAAAATTCTACTCTTTCTTTACTCAAACGATACATTTGCAAAATTTGCAGATCTCTTGTGACAAGTGATAACCAAACTGATTTGGTGAATGAAGTTGCTGATCAAAGCCCAGAAAGCCTCGAGTCTCTTTTTCATTGTCTGTGTTGTGTGGGCAACAACACTCTTGCTATTTAGTGTAAGTTAACCCTTAAACTCCAATAACTCCAATGAGTTACCAAGACAGAATTTTTCCCTATGATATTAATACAATATCAAGCAGACTGGTGATGGGAATGACCCAAAACATCAACTATGGGATTAATTGTTGCTTGAATACCAAATTTTTTAAATTAACATCATAATAATTGTGTAGCAGACAGTATGAAGGATTACTGAGATCTTGGGTGTGAAAGGGTTACAATTTGGCCAGCTGAATGTGATATTTCTTTAATCCCTTTAGATCATGGAAAGGAAAACTCTGTCCAACTGAACAATATGAGTGGGGATTCAGTCCTCCAAGCTATGGAGAAGCTTGTTACATCAGGATCACTGTGAAATGTGGAATATTTATGAGTGATGCCATAACATTATCAATTGCAGGGAAGGACAGGAAATTTTTATTTCTTCAGCGAGCCTTTGAAGTTCCTTGAAAATACCTGTAAATTTGTTTTGTCATCTTTAGTCTCTGTGGTGTTGCGATGTAATTGAGGTATCAATGGATGTCTGAGAACAAATTATTAAAGATTCAAATTTGTTTACCTATTGTTATTAACTGATTTTGACAAAATTGCAGTTAGAGGTTTTAATAACTTAATGGATCTTAAATGTATCTTACTGCAACCAAAATTAAACATTCTGAATTATCATCAACATTTGCATATCAAATAAGTTTTTTTTTTTGGTGATGGTGTTGTCATTCATCAGGAGGGTGTGCCTTAAGTCAGTCACACATGCATTCATAGGAAAGAACAATGCTAAGGCTTACCACCCATCAAAAGGTTGTTCTTACATATAGTTACACCCTCTGCCCCTTTTATGGTTTGGAAGTCTCTTGCAGCAGCAGCACATTGCATTCATGCTATGTATGTTACAAAAATAATGGAAGTGTCAGTTTTTGTATGTTTTGCAGGTTGACATAGGTGTTGGTTTGGGTAATATTACATCCAAAGAACCTTGTTCACCAAAGTGGCATCGGAAATTGGTCTTTTTTAATTAAAATGGTACAGTTATCTTAAGCAGCTCTCTTATTTTCAATTTTTACCCAACAATTTCCAACAGAGCAAATTTCCCAAAATGGATCAGTGTCAACAATAATCAGTTATAATCTATGTTCGGTGATATCTTTACATCAGAATGCCTGGGTACCCATGTTTTGGTGTAATCCACTCTAGGAAAAGGTCATTCAAAGGTGGGTGCAAATTACCTTTTGCTACCATCGGGGTAGGAGCTTAAATGTAGTTGGGCCTTTTAAATAATCAAATGAATAAGTAAAACCAGGTTGCAGTATAATGTATCATATATTTAGAAAGCAGGACATCTTTTAAGTAGCATATATTTGGAGAGTTCTCAAACTAATCAAAGTGTAAAAATGTTTCCAAAAAAAAAAAATTTAATATAACCAAGAAATTACATCACATGCGGGGTTAGATAACATTAGAGTATCTTGATAAAGGAGAAACAAAATGTAAAAAAAAAAAACTGCAATGTCTACATCTGGCCTTTCCAAATCTAGTTTTACAATCAGACCTCATCAACCTAAGTGTGAATGGGCGAGTGTACTGTTACATTCTACCATATGTAAGGTATCAGAACTGCAGTGCTTCGGCGATAATCTTGGTAGGCTGGTAGATGCCCCCATTTCTTCAAACCCTGCCTTTCCAGAAGTGGAATGCCACTGACTCGAGTCAGAAGATAAGCCACAAACATAGGGGAGATGGCACTCAAGTACTGGTAACCAGACATTACTGAGGAAGCCGGAAGAAACAAGCTGGACCACATCAGCATCTCGCCAAGATAGTTGGGATGTCGGCTAATGCTCCACAGCCCAGAGGCAATCCACTTGCCTTTGTTAGCAGGATTAGCCTTGAACTGCGACTTTTGGTAATCTGCACCTGCTTCTAGTATGAATCCGATTAGCCAGAAAGCCCATCCTAAGTAATCCTTCCATGTCAGCTCTTCGTCTTTAGCAGAAGCATTCAGGATCAGGGTTGGTAGTAGAGTCAGGAAGATCCAAACACCTTGAATTGTCCAGTAGATGAAAAACACACGGGGATTCCCTCGAACCTTGTCGAAACGGCTATCCTTTCCGTCCTGGAGAATCCTGTGAAACAGATACAAGCCAAGTCGAAGTCCCCAAACCGTAACACAGCCAGACTGGATAATCTGACGCAAGTTGACTTTCCTTTGCCATCTTAGGGTTAGCAACGTCAGGAAGACGAAGGTGGAGGAACCGGCCAAATCGTAAAACTTTTCCGTTTGAAGAATGGACGCAACCACCCAACAAATCCACTGAATACCAAAGTCTATTGCTGCTGCAGTAAAAAGAGGGTTTTTCATGCCAGCGGAAAGAAAGCTCCCCATTACTTGGAAGAACTTAGAAGATTTGTGGACATACAGCAATCAACGATCGATACCAACCTCCAACCGTGATTGCGAACGCAAGGTCGATTAAGCTTTTTCTTCACATAAGTACTTTGAAATGTATCCCTGAGAAATTCGATGAAATAAATGGATACACGAGGCGCATATACTTGACTAGAACTTTCTAGTTACTTCTCCAAGATGAAAGTTATGTGTTGTATTCTAAAATCGTTGCAAAAGAGGCAAAACAAGCCAAAATTTATCATATGGACACCTTATGATACCTTACATATACTGTAAATTTTGAAACTTGATAACTTACGTAATCCGCCGACTAGGATTTAACAGCTATTTCACCCACCCTGCGTGTAACTAAAAGGATCAATTCCCTCTAAACTAGGAAGCGATTACGTTTCATGGAGACTTCATCTTTCTATATAGCGAAAGAGAAGATTATTATAACCATAACTCATTAATTCCACGTTTAACGCCCCAAGCCACTTTAGAAAGACGTGAGTGGAGGGGTAGAGTATGGATTTTGTCGCGGGTGGCTTAGGTGTGTTCGTTACGAACAGCTCCTTGAATTCATTCCTTTATAGTAATCAGAGCTTTTGAAAGCAAGAAGAGGTCAGATGGAGGTATGTTAATTCTCAGGGAGGCTGAGAAAAAATGAAATTCATACACAGCTGTCACAGTTTTTCAGATGAGTACTACCATTGTGGGAGTAGGAGGGGGTATAGGGTCAATTTTTGCTGGTATGTGTCACTGGCTTCTCAGAACTCCTACCCCATCATGGTCTAAGCTGTGGTCAACCATAGACCCCATCTTAGTCACTATTGAGCAAAATTAACACCTTTTTAACTTTGAATCTTCCCATCTTAAAAACCCCTACTGACCAGAATTTTCTTACCTTCCCACCCCCCAATCCTAAGAATATGTGACCCATTCTAGTACCTCTATTAAAATTAAACCCCATTATAATCAATCCAACAAACTCATCCTGCAGTACATCCCCATTAGCCAATTTCTAGGAAGTACCCTTCTAGGGTACCACATGCATGATTATATGACAAATCAAGACTGTTACAAAATTCTTGAACTTGATTAGTTACCACCAGCCCAATTTGAGAACTAATAGGAAAGTGTTTGCATCATGCTTGTACTGGTAATTGGACAGTGTAATAGGACAGTTAAAGGGACAGTAAACACATCATGCCTGTGTAAGTGGACACAACACATCATGTGCTCATGCTGGTGTCTCACATTTCAATAAGTTAACTGTTGGTGTTTTTGAAAACGTATAACTGTTGTCAAGTTTCTTTCTAAAATTTTGTCATAGATGTGATTAATTGGTAACAGCACTTCCTGTTGTCCAATTCTACAGGTGATTATCAAATTAGACTCCTGCATCCCTGTCATCCAATTTTGTTAATCATTTGTATGATTACAGACCAAATTGGACTCCACTCAGTTCTTAATTAATTATCATTATACATATGATGAAAATCATCCGAGTCTCAAAATATTTAATAGGGCTGATTTTTCCACTATATGATAGGTTAAATACTAAAGAGAAAGAGAGGTTAAAGAAAATTAACACTAAGTGTTTGTAGGTTCAACTCAGAAAATTTAAGCAGTATCTTTCCCTTTTTTTATTTTTTGTAGTAACAGTTGTTTTCATGCTTTCAGAAATAGTGACAAACAATTGGATTTAAAGAGATGGGAAACTCCTTCAAATCACTCAACCCTCTATTGTTGGCAAGACAATTAGGCACATTTTTTTAAGTGGTGGTCATTAATCTATGTGTAACTAACCCTTGAAGATGATTCCTACATAATGTCCAAATATTTTGCCATATGTTTTTATAATCAAATTGTGATTTAGCCACAGCACTTAATACAGCCTCTTAGCAATATTTTAACTCTTTTTTAGTCTTATGTGTCTGTAACCCAGAGAGAAGCTCAGTGTACCCCTATTTTTTCATCAGAAAACTTATCAGCTTAGTATATTTCACCTTTGACTCCCAGAAGTGACTAACACTTAACTTCTCACTGCAATATCCGTACATTATCCAGCAAACAGGTAATAAGAATGCTCAAACATATCAAATAGAAGTTGTTGTCTTGATCTTACACCACATTCTTGCAACTAATTTCAAAGGAAATATGAAGTAACTGGAGGGGAGAATTGACCATCAGAACTGGGAGTTAAAGGGTAGTGCACCCCTATTTTTTAATTAGAAAACTTATCAGCTCAGTCTAT